CATCTTGCTCTCTAAGCTTGTGTAAATGTCTATACATAATGCAATGGTCAATACACTTCCAAGAAGCCTAGCTTGTTTTGGGGGGAGCAGCTGTGTTTGCATGGGTGGCGTGGAGGCATTTTGCAGACAATATTTTTAAAAAAGAGGAAGAGATTTATGGCGAATAAGTTTTATTTCCTAATTATTGTATCCGTCAGAGCCTGCAGGGGTTCAGCAAATCCCAGAAACTCTGACAGGCCTGCTACCTTCGTACCACATCTGGGTGTGTGTGTGTATCACACTAGGACAGTTAATGGGAAGGAAACCAGTTCCCTTATATGAGAATTTCCCGTTCCTTCAGGATGTGGTCTCAATGTCACCCGATTCAAAAGACACATCAAAAAGGAAGTGCTTCTGCTGCAGAAATAATAAGGAAGTTCTTAGGTGACAGGACCCAGGGGGTTCCCCAAACACAGAGTGATGACACGCATTGAAATCACCGGGGCCTGGCGATGAGGATTTCCCCCTTGTCTGGCAACCTTTATAAAGAGAGGGAGGGAGGAAGAGACAAACACAGGGAAACCAAGATGGAGGGGAACCTTGTGGAGTCCTGCTGCTGCATGCTATTTTTCATGATGTCTCTCCTGATACTGAACGTGCTGTCTGTGAGGCTGTGGAAGGTTTGTATCTTTGCATACGCTGAGGGGGTAGAGGTCATTGCGACAACAGGGGATTAAGGCTGTGCGGATGGTAGCTGATGCTAGTCCTACTCGGAGTAGATCCACTGAAGCCAATTCATACACTGTACACGACCAACATAGGTTTATTTGTTTCATTGGGTCTACTCTCAAAGGAACTTCACTGGTTGCAATCTGATGCATTCAATTTTTGTTCTTTAAAAACACCCTGGTATGGGCAAGTGGGGAAGCTGTGCATAGAAAGAGCTAATTGGAGGGAAAGGGGATTATTGAGAAATCATAGGAGAGTTTCACTCTGGCAGTGTGGCCCAATAACAGGGTCACAACATGTCTCGTATAGTAACTTTTTACTTGGCAAGGTAAGTATGTAAGACAAGGTCTACTGCAGTGGTTTACAACCAATGTGCTGTGGCACCCTGGGGTGCCTTGAATGATGGTCAGGGGTGCCGCAGGGCAACACTGGCCTCTGTCCCTCTTTCCTTCCCTCTTGTGTCCCTGCCTCCCAAAGGCTTGCACGGCTGTTTGTTGCAGCAGCCCTGGCTGCAAGCTCCGCAGGTGAATGGTGCCTCTGGGAGGCACCTCTCTTTGAGGTGGGGTGGGGGCAGCTCAGAGACCAGCCTCCCGGAGGACTCCCAAGGAGAGGGGAGAAGAGGCCGAAGGAACACTCCACAAGGGAGGGTGTTTGAAAAGGGTGAGGGGCTGCCAGCTCTGCAGGCAAAGTGTGACGTAACCATGCTTTTGAGGCTCTTACTTGCCTTTTATCTAAACTAAAAACACCTCAAACATTGCAACCTTTCCTCAAAGGGAAGTTGATCCATCCGCCACAGTTAATTAATAATTTTGGTTGTACTTTTCTGCATCCTTTTCCCACCTCTACTTTTTTTTTTAAAGTAGTGTTATTAAAGAAAGTGTTAATAATGTGAGGTCTGACATAATTATCTCACAGCCTCTCCAGCAATCTCAAGCTGTTCCCATTGCCAAATTCCTCCCAAACTGATTAAGACTAGAGAAACAGCATACGTTACTCAGCGCTTATTTCATTCGAGTTTTTGGGATTTCTTCCAGGGTTTCACCCCAACTCCTAACTTCCTTTCCCATCAAAGAAGCTGGGCATTCTCCTGTGTTGCGGAATCCAGTACAGGGGCCTATCACCATGTAAGTATATTTTGTGCATCTGTGGCACACAGCTGCTAAGCTTAAAATGGCAACTAAAATCTTCTTGTGAGATAATTTCATATTGCTCTTAAAGGACAATGAAACGTGTGGATATTTCATATGTGGGCTGGGGAAATCTATGGTGTATTTTTAATTTTTAAATAGTTAGCACATGTTTCTTGCACGTTTGATGGGCCGTAACTGGGCTCTTAATCACTCCAGGTAAATAGGTACTGCTGCGACAGGAAGGTAAATGGCATTTCCGTGCGCTCTGGTTTCTGTCACGGTGTCCCGTTGCTCCAGAAGCGGTATAGTCATGCTGGCCACATGACTCGGAAAGCTGTCTGTGGACAAATGTTGGCTTCCTTGGCCTGAAAGTGAGATGAGAACTGCAACCCTATAGTCGCCTTTGACTGGACTTAACCGTCCAGGGGTCCTTTACCTTACCTTTACATTTTATCTATAGTGGAGACATAACAGAAAGAAACAGCTGGCAATGTTGAGGTCCAGTGAGCGTCACTGGAGAGTGTAGTAGCACCCTTTTTTGTGCTAAAAGTGATAGTTGTTGTCCATCTATTTGACATCTGTGGGAGGGATCTTATTTCCCTTCTCATCCCCTAGTCTCAAACTAATTATGACATCAAACATTCACATAGAAGAAGAGAAGAGTTTGGATTTGATATCCCGCTTTATCACTACCCAAAGGAGTCGCAAAGTGGCTAACATTCTCCTTTCGCTTCCTCCCCCACAACAAACACTCTGTGAGGTGAGTGAGGCTGAGAGACTTCAGAGAAGTGTGACTAGCGCAAGGTCACCCAGCAGCTGCGGGGAAGCAAACCCTGTTCACCAGATTACGAGTCTACCGCTCTTAACCACTACACCACACTGGCTCTCATAATGAAACCCTTTCTTGACCTGACCTGGATTCTGTTTTCTTTCAGCAACAAAGCAACATATGGAGGCCCCTTGTGTTCTGCTTCCATGGGCAGAAACCACGCTTCAGCTGGGAGAGCCAGAAAAGTTACGGAGGAGCCACACCCTGACCACCTTCCTTTTTTCCTGAGAAAACCCTGGCTGTTTCTTTAAGAGATGAAGAACAACTTCCATGTTTCATTTTGCTTCTGAAATCGCTCTGTGGCAAGGAGTCACATCTTCATTGCTAATGACTGATCTCGAACTTCCCCCAGGGGTCTTGTTCTACTAGATAAAGGGAGAGAGGGAATTCACTGCATACTTCGCTTAATTTGTTTGGAAACCAGCTACATACTGCAATACCCACCAGTGCTATAATGCAGTACGTAAGACCATTCAGAAAGCACAGCGAAATCACGTTGTTACGTGCAGCCACAGAGTAAAAGAAGGAAAAGCTCAGGGTAGGTCATCGAAGGCGAGGAGGAAGAGTAGTAGCTTATAACAAAACAGAACCAAGATCAAATTCTGCTGGCGTGGGGAGCTGCAGTCAGAAAAGAAAAGTGTTACACACCAACTTCTGCGGTTCAGTATCATGGTTGGGAGGTGCCCTAATAACGCTCCCGTAAAAGCAAACACATCCTAGATGCATTCCAACTTGTGGATTTGAAGTTTTGAATTTCTATGGCATCAATACCTGTTTTGAATCGGAAATAAAGCAGATGAGAAATGTAATGTGTGGGAAGATTCAACTTCATGGCTTGCACTCAAAAGAACTGGAAAGAGGAACTACCTCCTCCAGTCCATAGCAGGGAGTTGGTTGCTGTGGAAGTGATGAAAGAGCTCAGCTCCCAAGTCCTTTTCTAATGCTCTGACGCCTCCTGATCCAGGTATTTCCTCCATGGGCAGAAGGCTCTGGGTTGATTCATACCTCTAAAGCCACAGAAATCTGCTCTTTCCTTCCCTTTTGGGTCACAAGGGTGTTGTCTTGAATTAAATATGTGGCCATTATATTATTATTATTATTATTATTATTATTATTAGCAATGCCTTTTTCCAGGGGGGTACTCAAGAGTACGCAGTACTGGCACCTTTTTGTTAGAAAGCGTGGCACTTAATGTAACAACATCATGATGAGTACTGGACCTTTTTTTTAAAAAAAAAAGCACTGAAGATTACTATGAATTAAACTTATCAGTCACCTTTTTAACAAAATGCAGCTCAAAGCAGCTTACAGCAATAAACAAATAGTACCTGTGTAAGATGTGACATAGGAAATCAGGAGCAATTACATTTACAAAACAAAAACGTAATTGCAATCATAGAGGGTGTGTGTGTGTGTTAGCTGCTAATTTCCCTATAGGGGAAAGCATACAGGTACCCACAGTGAGGGAGGAGCAATTTAAATTGGGGGGGGGGGAGGCACAGAATGGTCCTCTCCCAGAACTACAGTCCCAATCTAGCTCTCAATAAAGATGCCCCACTGTTATCTACTCTAAAATGAAAACACAAACACAAACCTGAGAGAGCCTGATCATGGATCCACTGTGTCACATCTGGCTAATCCCTGGGAGTCCAATGAATGGTGCTCCATTTCAGTTACCAAAAGGTAGGCAAGTGATCAAGCAGATCTCACCCCCTGCTCCTTGCTACATCAGGTTCACCACCCTTCTCAGGCAAGTTGCTCCAGACCCTTTTGGTGTGTGTGGATGACCTGACTAATGAGAAGATGAGAGGTTCAATCACCGTAGCCTATTAGTGTTCGGCAGAAAATGAAACAACAGGGCGTCCAAAAGAGAACCACAATGCAAAAGTGCCAAATTAACAGATTTGCTCCTACAAATCCAATATGAGCATGTTTCAGGTGACTATGCTCTTCTTCCCATGAAGCCTTTCCGACTGCTAAAAAGTACTTTCCCTTCTTTTGGCTTGTAATTTGCAAACACGATAGCTCTTAATGTTCCTACATGGGACTTAATTTTTCAGCACCCTTGGCGTTCTTTTCTATCCCTTTGCATGCACCACTATTCCTCCAAAACGACAATTTCTAATAAAGAACTGCACAGGATGCAGTAGAGGGAAACGTAGGACTATGTCTCTTCCATGATGTGCTCTGGTCACAAGGAAGCAATGGGAATTCCCTTACAGTCTTCTTTACTGGGAGGAAATCGTATTTCTGGATACCATTCCCAGACATACAAACAGTTTTGTATTTTTAACAAAGTGAGGTGGAATTTCTTAACACAAAGAAGTAATCTCTGCTAAAGAAACAGAATTTTTATTTATTAGAAAAAACCCCACGTTATTTTAAGTAGGCCTGACTAAAGCATCTTAAGGCAGGCTGGTGATTGCTATGTTAAGGCAGGTTGCCAGCTCTCTTAACGGCTTAGAAAGCTGAAGTATAAAAGTTGGCAGAAGAAATGTTAATTTTGGGTTGCGCTGGGTTGTTGGGTTCAAAGCTGAAGATGCTTCTCCATTCGCTCCCTCAGTTTGTATTTCTGAATCTAAGATTGGAACAGGAAGGAAAGAAGAAAGGGATTGGTTACAGCATTGCAAACATACTGGTTGTCCCTCTGCAAATATTTTGGTCTATGCCTATGGCCATCTCTCATTTAGGCTACCATAAAGTGCTCTCTCTCTCTATGTTGCCTCACTTTGGGCCCCTCACCTCTACCCAGAACTCTGCTGCCAAAGTCATTCACTTGTCTCTCATTGCTCTGATGATGCAATGCTACTCCTTAAAACCCTACCCTGACTTCCCATCTTCTCCTGGATTCATTCTTGTCCTTTCCTTCAAATCTCTCCAAGTCCTTTCCCTCTTGATCTTATCATCCTGACATGTCTCCCCTTATGATCTTCACTCCCTGGACTCCACCATTCTCCATCACCTAAAAGTCTCAACCACCCCAAAAAATCCCACCTTCTATTCCTGCTGCCCTTCATATGCTAGTCACTGCCTCCTAGATGCCACCACTCCTACGTCTTCAAATTCCTCTTCAAAACCCACTTGTGGCCCACCCATCTACTAGTTCCATACCCAGTAGTCTGTAACTAGGCCCAAGCCCATGTAACTCAAGCAACTGCAAACACTCCTTCCCTGTTTACGCCACCTCCTCTTCCCCTCCCCTGTGATTCCGCTGTAACCGGTTTAGTTTGCAAGTTCCTCGAGGCAGGGATCTTCCTGCACTCCGCAAAGCACCATGCAACCTACTGGGGCTAAGCAAGCAAAAGCCTTTGGACTGTCACTCACCTTGCCCGAGACGGTGAGCGGGAAATCCTTCACAAACACTATGTACCGAGGGATCTTGAAGTGAGCGATCTGCAAAAGAAAAGCCAATGGCTGTGGACTGACTCAATCTTTATACAGCGGGCTTGCTGTTCCCCGCTTGAGCAGGACTCAGAGCAAGTGCCTCTCCAACATGGAATACAAAACTGCCTTTTATCTAAAGCCATATCCCCAACTGATATTAAGACAGCGGGAGCTTCCACACTAGGCATTTAGTGTGGAACTGCCATGCTTATTCAGTCACTTTTTATGAGGCATCCGCCTGAGGCTGTCATCCTATCATACAGTCCTTCCGTCTTTCCTCAGACTACAGAAAGCCCAGTTGTTTTTTCCCGAAGAACAGAAGAGCAGCCCAAATGTGACAAGCGTACAGTCGTTCCAAAGCATTCAAAAACCAAAGCGCGGCTTCTGATTGGCTGCAGGAAGCTCCTGCACCAATCGGAAGCCGCAAAGCTCCGTCAGACGTTCAGCTTCCAAAAGAACGTTTGAAAACCAGAACAGTCACTTCTGGGTTTC